CTTTCCTGAAGATTCCGGAATCCCTGGCTTGAGTCTCCTTCAGTCCAGGTTCGCCATGAGCAAGCGACAGCAGAGAAGAGCCTGCAGGAGGTGAGGAACGATCGGCTTTCCAAAGTAGGAAATGGGCCCTGCCAAAAGTAAGTCACGCTCCGGCGGACTTGACTCCGCGGTCGTGGCTCAAGGGGGCTCCAAAGCCCAGTCCCCTTAAGGACTCTCGCTTCTCCCCCCTCCGGCCAAATGCACCAGGAAATGAAGCAAGAATTCTGAAGGAGAACGGCTGGACACCAAAGAGAGTCAGTTAAGATCTTTATTATGCGCGCAGGCGACAGCCAGAGGAACGAACAGGAGGTCCTCCAAAACGGGCTGCGCGCGGAGGGGTGGGGGGCATTGGGTTAAATACTTTTCTTTGCAAGGCTACAGAAAGCAAAAACAGGAAATACATGTCTAGCTGATAAAGAAAAAAAAAACACCATGAACTTTGCAACGAAGCGTCTTATTTTTGGCGACCACAAGCGTCTCTTGTCTCTTGCAGGTGTTAAGCTTTGCTTGTGGTTGAGCTATACGTTTCCTGTACACAGTTTTGAGTTTCCATTTAACAACAGCAGCCAGGCAATTATACTTTGACAATTATTCTTTTGCAGAGTTAGCTTTTTAATGAATTGCCTATCAATCCCCATATATGGTCAAGCGCTTCCTTTATCTAGCAAAGCCTTATGTGGTCACTTGTTTTTCTTACTTGCTGGAAAGCAAACTATGTATTTCTTTGCTGATATATCAGTTACATAGCATTATTGATCAATAGCAAAGCATTGGTTATTATATGTCAAGGTTTTAAGGCAAACACATATAGGTAACTGAAAACAAACACATGTAGGTAACTGAAAACTACTAAAGCAGACCCATTCAAGTAATTAAAACAGCTTGCTTGAATGCCTATAAATAAACTTAGGAAAGGAACCATCCCATAGTCAAATAGAGTAACGCAAGCGCTTAAATGGAGAAACACGGTAACAATACAACTTTTAACAGCAACCATAAAACCAATTCCTTCCTCTTTCTTACACTGAGGGATAGAGCATGTTAATAATGCGAACTTTACATGTAGCGCCTTCAGAAACATAGCCGATGTTTGTCCTTAACAGCATTTAACATACATATATATATTTAAAAACAATTAAACAAAAGGCATATAAATGCACAAACAGGGAGGAGGCCCAATAAAAGTTCGTGGCAGAGGACAACGCTAGAGGGAGAGTTCATGCTTGGGTTCTGCAACTTAAAATCCAGCTGGCTTAGAAGACAGAATGTGCAAACCACCCTGGTGTGGCCTTGCATCTTGGCGTTTCAAGCACAGAGGGGGAGGGGGTTGGGTTTCTCAAGGCCACAGGAACATACATTCAAAGCTGACTATTTTTCCTACGCTGGGATCTGGAGAGTTGTGATTATTTTCAGGAGAATTTTATGTTAGTAGCTTTGCTGCCAAAATGTTTTTCCTGTCCTAAAACCATAAAATTAAAGACTGAATGTTTAATGTCAAAAGTACCTACTCTTCCCAGAGGTAAAGAGTGGTAAGCTTTTTCTGTAGGCTGCTTTAAATACTTTGAAAGAGGAATAGCTACTAGGCTGCAGGGATAACAGAGCAGGGTGCAAGGGCATGATTAGGGCAAGTCCTACAACTGAACCTTGAAAAGCACCTAAGCACAGCTAGGCACAATGTGCGTCATAATAGACTTAACAGCTTTGCTACAAAATTCTCCCTACCTTGAAGCAATAGAAACAGAGGATTTGAATGGCCACAAGCTCTTTCTTCCACAGAATACTGTTTTTATCCGGAATGCTCCATAAGGTATCCTAATTAGAGGTCATATAATGTAAAGTGTAATGGTCCTCCAGCCTTGTTAGTTTTAATTTAAAACATTTATGTTCTTTTTCCCATTAAGCTCATGGTAATTCCTGTTTATATAAAAAAAATATCTGCAGTAAAAAATACACTAAAACTCAACAAATAATAAAGTAGTTTGGTATCCTTCCTTCCTTCAATGATACGGCTTTATTGGCCATAGCCTGAAGCCTAAAAATAATAGAGTAGCAACTGCCCTGTCATTCTTGGTTGCCCTTAGCCAAATAACAGATTCATTGTTGATGGCAGTCGCTAGATCAAAGTGCTGTTCTAAACAAATGGAGTTGTATGGAACATTTCATGCATCTTTTTGCTGGTTTAGAAGCTTGTAGCGGTACAGATGTAGTAGTTTTAAATTCTGATTTACAAAATTGGTAGATGAATCCATACATAGTGACTGTTCCGTTTGGTGTACAGGTGAGTTTGGCCTGTGCTTCTTCCCTACTGCGGCAAATTAATGTTGCTCCTAAGCTTTAGCATTACACACACACACACAAACACACCATTTAATCTGCAATTATTTGTCATCCATCTTGCAGGGTGCAAACAAAGAAGGGGAAAAACAGAGGTCCCAGGCGTAGTCCTTTGCTGGGGTCTCGTTTCCTTATGATTATTTTGGCATAAGACTTCTCGTTCCTGTGACAAATTTGGCTGACATGACTCTGCTGTATCTCAATTACAGGCTTTGTGTTATTTCTTTGCCTGGGAATTTTGACCATGCTTAGGCCAAATATGTACTTCATGGCCCCTCTTCAGGAAAAGGTGGTGTTCGGAATGTTCTTCCTTGGAGCAGTGCTGTGTCTCAGCTTTTCCTGGCTTTTTCATACAGTCTACTGTCATTCAGAAAAGGTGTCTCGGACATTTTCCAAGTAAGTCAGTTGGAATAATAAAGATGTAACTTTTGTTCCAACAGGCTGTTTTCCCGGGTAACCTTTTTTTCATTGAAACACAAAGTCCTTTTTTGTGATATGATGTGAAGAAATGTCTAAGCTGGAGTTGTTGTCTAGGTGTGATTCTTTAAAATACACTGAAGCCCTGTCAAACATGTCGGGCAGAGCTTAATAAAAGAAACTGGCTTTCGCCACTATGCTTTGCAGATGTTTTCAGGCTATGATTTGCTCCTATCTTAGTTCAGAAACTGATGTGGCTGGAGAGCCTAGAATGGTTCTTCTTGGTTTTCTGGCCTGAAAACATTCCCCATGCAAGTCCCATCATGGTCTTCCTGCTTGGCTGGTCCAGAGGAAATCAAAGTGATGGGCTGCCCAGACTGGGACCAGAACACGTGATGGGATAAATGGAACAAAGATAATGGGACACTAACCTATTAACACCTTGGAACATAAAAAGGAAATTCATCCTTTCACTGACAGTAAACAGGTTAATGGCAAATGTAGGAAACAGGTTGAAGGCTTTGGAGGCATAGCTTCAAAATGAAGTTTTGAACCAACTAGACCACACTTGCAGTGGTAATTAAATTAAGTCCTTAAAACCAAATTTTTCTGCAGCTAAAGTTTGTGACACTTGGGTGGAGCTTTGGTCACATAAAGCCCCCGGTTTCCCACTGCCATGGAAGGTGTTTTTAGCAGCAGCAGTGGAGCAGCAGAGATGGCTGGGTACTTTTATTGTTGATTGTTTTCTTGTACGGTGTTTGCTTGCATTGGCTTTTGTGTGGACCACCTTGAATATGTTTTCCATAGATGGGTGGCACAAAGAGGACTAAATAAATAAATGCCTTGGTGTTCCTTTTTGGAACATAAAAAGGAAATTCATCCTTTCACTGACAGTAAACAGGTTAATGGCAAATGTAGGAAACAGGTTGAAGGCTTTGGAGGCATAGCTTCAAAATGAAGTTTTGAACCAACTAGACCACACTTGCAGTGGTAATCAAATTAAGTCCTTAAAACCAAATTTTTCTGTAGCTAAAGTTTGTGACACTTGGGTGGGACTTTGGTCACATAAAGCCCCCGGTTTCCCACTGCCATGGAAGGTGTTTTCAGCAGCAGCAGTGGAGCAGCAGAGATGGCTGGGTACTTTTATTGTTGGTTGTTTTCTTGTACGGTGTTTGCTTGCATTGGCTTTTGTGTGGATTACCTTGAATATGTTTTTCATAGATGGGTGGCATGAACAGGACTAAATAAATAAATAAATGCCTTGGTGTTCCTTTTTAAAGGTAAAAAGGTAACGGTTCCCTTGCTCGAAAGCCAGTCGAGTCCGACTCTAGGGTTGCAGTGCTCATCTCCATTTCAAAGCCGAAGAGTCAGCGCTGTCCTCACAGTCCTAGGGATTCATATTTCAGATAAATAGTGGCGGTTGAACCCCCCTTTTGGAAAAAGAAAAATTATTTCAATTTTGGGGTTTCTTTTGAGTTGCCTGGAGTGAAATCTCTTGGAGGGCATGTTCAGACTTTGATAAAAGGGATTGTTGAACGTGAAAGTGTGTAACATTTCTTTTCTGTTTTTCACCTGCAAAGGGGAATGAAGTGTAGAGATGAGCAGGCTGGACACCCAAGCAGAGGTGGTAGGCAATTTGGGGGAATGGGCGATGTTTGAATTGAGTTGTTTGCATCTTGTCAGGTCTTGCGTGTGAACATCTGGAGTGCAATGAGCATGAACTGTAGTTTTGGTTCCAAAGCCACCATTATTTCTACGCTTTCAGTTTCCATGTTCAAAGGGGCCCCCCCAGCCTACAATGGCCAAAGTATTAGATTCATGCAGTCCCACATTGGGAGTGCGCAGGCCAGCCTCAGAAAAGATTTCCATAGCTTTTTAATAGGCTAGAAGCGCCCCTCCTCCCTCTGGTGCATTCCCACCAAAAATGACCACATTACCAGGAGGAAGGGCACTACTCCCTCTGTTCCCTTTTTGCTACCACAAAGAGATGATCTCCACTGCTTATCTCTGTTTTTCCCCAACCTCATTCTTGAGGCTGGGAAGACATATTTCTGTCAGAGGTTTTTTCCATCAGTATTTATTCTAGTGAAGAATAAACTATATTTAAAGAAGAAATGTTTCTGGATTTCCACTGTGTCATTATGGCTCAAACAGGGCCTCCTCAGGATTGGGCCAACTGTCACTTTAGAATGGTTCTGTTAAACAGCCATTCTCTGTGCCTTATCTGCCAAGGGGTCCACACAACAGAGCTGCCTGCTCTTTCTGTCACCAATTTCCCCTGAAGGCACGATTTGATAGAGCTGAAATCAAAAGAGTTCTTTTTTTAAAGGCTTTGGCTGAAAGCCAGCCTGAATAAAGGCACCTTCCCCCTCCCTAGCAAGTAGGGGTGTGCATTTGGCAAAACAGAATGGATTAAATTCAGCCAAATCAGATTCCCTAATCTGATTCGGCTACCCAATAAAGTGGTGCGGAATAAAAGCCAATTATTCGGCTTTTATTCAGTCTCTTCCCCAAATCAGGGAGGGAAGGGGAAACAGATCAAAGAGGCTTCTTTAAATACCTCCCTGATCTGCCTTTCCTTCCCCAGCTGGCCTGCCAGGGCAGCTGGGTAGGGAAGAGAAGGGGAGGCATCTTTAAAAGCCTCCACGATTTGTCTTTGTTTCTCCCAGTCAGCCTGCCACTGCGGGTGGACTGGGAAAGCAAAGGGGAGGGAGAGTGGGTCAGTTTCACCCACCTGGGGTTGAAAGTGGAGGTGAGTGAAACTGACCCGCTCTACCTGGGGGGCTGACCCGCTCTACTTGCGGGGCTGAACGGCTAGGGAAGGCAGCAGAGCCATGGCTGGGGGAGGAAGGAGGAGGCATTTATATGCCATCCCCCTTTCATTCTCCAGGGGAAAAGGAGTCATTTAAAGATGTCTCCACCATCTTGCTTTGCTTCCCCAGCTAGCCTGCCAAGGCGGACTGGCAGGGGAAGTAAAGAGAGAAGGGGTTTAAAGTTTAAACCCCTTCGCTCTAGAGTTGCGCCGCAGCAGTGGCACAATCGCTCCATTGTACCCTATGGGGCCATAGGATACAATGGGAGATCATGCCGCTGCAGCGGCGCAACTCTAGAGAGAAGGGCTTTAAACTTTAAACCCTTTCTCTCTTCACTTCCCCCACCAGCCCACCTTGGCAGGCCGGTTGGGGAAGGGAAGGGGAGGTTTTTTAAAGATGCCTCCCCCCCTTTTTTGCTTCCCTACCCAGTGCCCCTTGGCAGGCCAGCTGGGGAAGCAAAGAAAGATTAGGGAGGCATCTTTAAATGCCTTTTTTGCCTCCCCTGTCTTTTTTTGCTTCCCCAGCCAGTGTGCCTTGGCAGGCCGGCTGGGAAAGCATAGAAGGATAGGGGAGGCATCTTTAAGAGCATCCCCTTTACTTCCCCAGCCAGCCTGGTTGGGGAACTGAAAAAAGAGGGGGGGCATCTTTAAATGACTCCTCTTCACTTCCCCAGCCAGCGTGCCTTGGCAGGCTGGCTGGGGAAGCGAAGAGAGAGCAGGGGATCAGAGAGAAGGGCTTTAAAGTTTAAACCCCTTCTCTCTGGAGTCGCACTGCAGCAGCAGCACGATCTTTCCATTGTATCCTATGGGGTCATAGGATACAATAGGAGATCCTGCTGCCGCTGCGGCATGACACTGGAGAGAAGGGGTTTAAACCCCTTTTCTCTTCGCTTCCCCCACCAGCCCGCGTTGGCAGGCCGGCTGGGAAAAGGAAGGGGAGGCTTTTAAAGATGCCTCCCCCCATTTTTTTGCTTCCCCATCCAGTGACCCTTGGCAGGCTAGCTGGGGAAGCAAAGAAAGATTAGGGAGGCATCTTTAAATGCCTTCTCTTTACTTCCCCGGCCAGCGCACCTTGGCAGGCTGGCTGGGGAAGCGAAGAGGAGGCATTTAAAGTTTCCTCCCCAATCTCTCTTTGCTTCCGCTGCGGAAGTGAATGGGTGGGAGAGCTGGTCAGTTTCACTCCCCCTCTGCTTGGAAGCGGAGGGGCAGTGAAACTGACACAGCTCAAGTTACAGCCGAATGTTTTCAGCAATGCCGAGTGTTTCCTGAATCCCAGTATAATACCGATACTGGGATTTGTGAGTATTGGCATTTACCGATATTTTTCAGATTAGGTTTACCCGAACCGAAAAATACCAATATTTTTTTCCCGTGCGCGCCCTTACTAGTGAGATGTGGTGTGCCAGAGCCTTGAATTCACTGACTCTTTCTTAAGAACAACTTATTGTGCTTTAATAATTATTAAGAATAGAATGTGTAAAGGGTTGAACAGAAGACGATGGTCTTACCTGTGAGATAGAATATATGAAAAAGGTAGTTAAAATAATAATTACGTATTAAACTTTGTTTTAGGAGGAAGGATCAGACAAGAAATGAAACTAGGTAGGGGTGGGACCACTGTGGGAAGCCTGGAGAATGGGAGGGAGGGAGGGAGGGGAAAGGGCTATAATAGAAATGAGGGAATGTTATAATATTGGACAGGTTGTTATGACCCGACAATAAAATGTTTTTAAAAGAATTCACTGACTCTTTTCAAAGGCTTTGGCTGTGCACCAGCCTGAATAAAGGCACGTTCCCCCTTCTTGGCTTCATGTGCTTTGAGGGGGAAAACCTGGAGGTTTTGTCTAACACAGCCTCTGATTCAGAACAGCTCTTTTCTAAGGCTTTGGCTGTAGCCTGCCTGGCTGAAGAAATTCCTTCCCCTCCCCGGTGTCCCTTGAATCCGAGAACCTGGAGGTATGGCCTGCAGAGACTGCCTGACGGAAGGAGGCCCTCCCCTCTCCCTTCTCTGGGTTCCGGAGGGAAGAAGGTTGGAGGTGTGGCCTGGCAGACACTGCCTGACTGAATGAAACCTTCTTCGTCTCTGCCTTCTGTGAGGTGTGGCCTGATGAAAGCCTGTTTTAAAGCTTAGCTATGTCTGACTGAAGAAACCTTTTCCTGGCTGTTCTCAGTTCAAGGTGAAATCCTGGGAGGCAGGGGTTAATAGGGCCTCCATGGATCTTAGTGAAAGGTGTTTCTGTATCAGTAGGGTATTGTGCCCTTTAGTTGGGGTTGTTTGGACCTCTTCACCTCCTGTAGTTTTGGAGAGTCCCAAGTGGGTGGAGTTTCCTGTTCTATCTGTTAGTTCTGTTGAGAGACAACAGACTAGTTACGCTTAAAGCCTGCTGGGCTTTATTTTACCACTCTACAATTCTCTGGCGAGCTTGGCTCCAAGCCCTCTAGTTAATGCCTGGTTCTAAAGGCAGCCTTCAGAACAAAGTTTGAGTCCAGTGGCACCTTTAAGACCAACAGAGTTTAATTCCAAGTGTAAGCTTTCGTGTGCAAATAGGTCTGCCAAGTGGGGGCAGGGGGCGGGGAAACCCCCGCTTTGCAGGCCCGATTTCCGCCGTGGCGGAATCGGGCCCTTTCGTGTGCAAAACACACTTCTTCATACAAATGGAATAAGATCTCCTCAAGTGTTACTTACAGGAAAAGAGAGGGTAGGGGGCAGCCGTTAGGAGGGGCCATTCAGAGCCAAGACGCCTATGCAGAGCTGAAATTGGATCAGGTGGCTGGCAAGATCAATGGATAGCAGCAAATTAGCATGTAAATTCAAGCGTTAACAAGGAGATGTGAGAATTAAGCTAGAGACCAGCAGTACCCCCTCCACACACACACAAGCCAAGTTCAACCCTGTGTACATGGGAGAACAGAGACTCGGCATGTGCACACGTCTTCATGTACACGAAACAGATTTCCTCAAATATTACATGCAGTTGGCCTTCGGTCCACCATCTTGCTGCAGTCTCTCAGCACTCCTCTTCCTGGTCATATGATTGTTTGGTGGGAAAGCACCAGGGGGAGGAGGGGCGCCCGTAGCCTGCCAGAAAGCTTTGGAAATCTTTTCCGTGGCTGGCCTGTGCACACTCAGAGTCCCAGTGTGTGCCTGCTCAGAAAACCACTTGATGAAGAAGAAGAAGAGAAGAGATTGGATTTATACCCTGCCCTTCACTACCCAAAGGTGTCTCAGAGGGCTTACAAACTCCTTTCCCCTCCCCACAACAGACACCCTGTAAGGTAGGTGGGGCTGAGAGAGCTCTGACAGGAACTGCTCTTTTTCAAGAACAGCTCTTATCAGAAGAGAAAAAACTACGGCTTGCCCAAGGTCATCCAGCCAGGTGCAAGTGGAGGAGTAGGGGATCAAACCCGGTTCTCCCAGATTAAAGTCCGCGCACTTAACCACTGCACCAAACAGCAGTTACAGGTAATTGCAACCCTGTTTTTCCTGAAGCTCAACTTATTTCTCCTCCTTAATTGTGGCAGTAGTGTAGGCTGTTCTTGCTTTGGTTTCCCCATTTTTATAAATGTTCACAAACACACAAGGTGTGGGAGCTAGAACTTGAATCTGGAAATGTTCACAACAGCTTTCCCAGGACCCTGTTAACCCTCCAGAATACCCCCAAGCCAGTTTGGCGTAGTGGTTAAGTGCGCGGACTCTAATCTGGGAGAAGCGGGTTTGATTCCCCACTCCTCCGCTTGCACCTGCTGGATGACCTTGGGCAAGCCATAGTTCTGGCACAGCTGTTCTTGAAAAAAGAGCAGTTTCTGTCCAGAGCTCTTTCAGCCCCACCTACCTCACAGGGTGTCTGTTGTGGGGAGTGGAAGGGAAAGGAGTCTGTAAGCCGCTCTGAGACACCTTCGGGTAGTGACAGGCGTGGTATAAATCCAATCTCTTCTCCTTCTTCCTCTTTACCAGGGTTTCTTTCCCTTTTTTTAAAAAAAAAGCAACATATCCTGGCCACCTAACTGTGTTTGAAGCTCCTGAAGCACTTTTAAATGCTGACAGATCTTGCTGTTCTTTTCACAGGGGTGTTCCTGGGGCTGGGGCTGAGTGGTGTGGTCCCCACCATGCATTTCACCATAGCAGAAGGATTTGTGAAAGCCACCACTATGGGCCAGATGGGCTGGTTTTTCCTTATGGCCATGATGTACATAACAGGAGCTGGACTGTATGCTGCCCGAATTCCAGAGCGCTTCTTTCCTGGCAAGTTTGACATCTGGGTAAGTGTGGCCTTTGCTAGGGACTGTCATCTGCTGTGGCTTTTCTGATGGTTCTTGAATAATGGCCAAGGAATCACTAGGTTGTAGCTTCGTGTCTCTGACCGTGGAGGCACAACATCGGCCATCCAGGAGTGTTGGCGGCGGCGGCGGCTGCTTCAGCATTTTTGCTTGTGAAGTTACTCTGTGCTGTTAAGGATTCCTTTTTACATTTGTTTTACTGGATATAGAGTTCATCATTCTCCCTCTGAGAGGAGGACATCTTGATGGGTGTCTTGACTACAAAACACCAATTTCGCGTACCCTGTAACGTGTGGTGCAGGTACATATGTGCGTTCCACAAAAGTCTTATTAGAAACCTATGACTAGATTGGTTTCCCACAACATACTTTTATAAAAGTATGCACAAAAGAGGTTTCACTTTTGAACAGGAAGTTAGAACCAACTGGTTAGTCCCAAACAGACTTCTTTTTGTGAATTCCCTTGTGAGAATGCAAAAGATGCCTTTTCAACTGTTTAAAAATGTTGTGTGATTTCAACTTGAAGAAGAAGAGGAGATTGGATTTATACCCCGCCCTTCACTACCCAAAGGAGTCTCAGAGCGGCTTACAAACTCCTTTCCCTTCCCCTCCCCACAACAGACACCCTGTGAGGTAGGTGGGGCTGAGAGAGCTCTGACAGAAACTGCTCTTTTTTCAAGAACAGCTGTGCCAGAACTGTGGCTTGCCCAAGGTCATCCAGCCAAGTGCAAGTGGAGGAGTGGGGAATCAAACCCGGTTCTCCCAGATTAGAGTCCGCGCACTTAACCACTTGGACTCTTTAAAGAAGATATTGCATTTTGGCCCTGCTAGAATGATTGCAAAATGTCTTTGTCTAATCTTTAACACGTCTTTTGCATTTCCACAGTTCCAGTCCCACCAGATCTTTCACGTGCTGGTGGTGGCTGCAGCCTTTGTCCATTTCTATGGAGTCTCCAATCTGCAGGAATTCCGTTATGGGCTTGAAGGAGGATGTACTGACGACTCTCTTCTCTGAGAACTTCAGAGGACTTTGGTACAAGCTTCCCAAGTGCTTTCAAAGTTACTTCTTTGCTAAAATCAAAAGAAGACTGAACTTTAAAAAAACACAACTCGGCAGCATTGGCAGTGGCCATTCCTGGCTTTCCTTCTCTCAGGAAGATGGGATGGGGGGGTGGGGGTGGTTTGCCAACAGTGTCCACTGGGTGGAAGTGCCTCCAGCAGCGAGCAAGCCCCTTCTTTTGGCCCTGCTAGAATGATTGCAAAATGTCTTTGTCTAATCTTTAACACGTCTTTTGCATTTCCACAGTTCCAGTCCCACCAGATCTTTCACGTGCTGGTGGTGGCTGCAGCCTTTGTCCATTTCTATGGAGTCTCCAATCTGCAGGAATTCCGTTATGGGCTTGAAGGAGGATGTACTGACGACTCTCTTCTCTGAGAACTTCAGAGGACTTTGGTACAAGCTTCCCAAGTGCTTTTAAAGTTACTTCTTTGCTAAAATCAAAAGAAGACTGAACTTAAAAAAAACACAACTTGGCAGCATTGGCAGTGGCCATTCCTGGCTTTCCTTCTCTCAGGAAGATGGGGGGGTGGGGGTGGTTTGCCAACAGTGTCCACTGGGTGGAAGTGCCTCCAGCAGCGAGCAAGCCCCTTCTTGACACGTGAGTTGACTGCTCACAGGAATGACATTGGCAGTTTTCTGGACACTAGAAAAACTCTGGCACCTGGCAGAAAAGAAAAAAAAGGAAAGGGGCTCGTTACCTGCTATTTGATGCTGCACACATAACCCCATGCTTGAAGAAACTCTAAATGTTTGTGACCCATCAGATACCCGTTTCTCCGTTGGATCCGTAGGAGGCGGGTCGCATTTGAGTCGCAGGGCGCTGGCAGCTCACAGCAGGAGAGCGCAGAGGAGGATGCATAGGGCCATTTAACTGTAGACTCGTCTCTTTCTCGACAAAAGTAATGTATGCCTAAAAAGAGAGTATTTAATATTTAATAAGCTTTAAAAAAAGAAAAAATAAGTCGCTTATTCCTCCAGCATATCGTTACTGGAGAGATATACATAGTATTACAAGTGGGGCGTTCAGAGGATTGTAGAGCTGCTGTTGCTTTTATGCCACGGTGACTAAAATAAAACGTCTGTAACTTTTAATGCTGGGCTGTTCAAGGGTTCAGCTCAGATGCCTGCAGATAATTTTTTTCCCCCCTGGAGGGACACACACACACACACACCACCCTCTTGCATGGCATTCCTAACTGTGTTTGAAGCTCCTGAGTTTAAAAAGCATTTTGTGCTTTCAGGTAGAGTGGCTTCTGGAAGATAGAGGGAAAGTAGGAGAAACGAAAAATCCCGCCGCACGTATCCCGTTCCTTGCACGGTTCTCAGTGCCGTGACCATGTTGGGAAGCATAACGGTGGGTGTCTTCCCTTGACGGCTTGTGGCAGATCAGCAACTGCACGCCCTTCTCTCTGCCTCCTAGATAACCCTTACTAGACCAATCCTGGCAGGGTAGCCTTCTGAACTTATCATGTGCCTGGGGATATGCTTTGTCTAAGGATTTTCAAAGGGGTGGACTTGCTTTGGCATTTTAGAAGCATTGTGCTTTTAAGCGTCCCCAGCCCCCTTTAATGAGATTGTCTGTCTGCTGTGGGGTAGCTTCCTGCCTCTGGAAGTTAGGAAATTCGAGCTGTTAATCCACTTCGCCTTTAGGATTTCCTTATTAACATGTCCAATCTAATTGGAGGGGGGGGAGGTTTTTTCCCCCCTTTGCCTGCAGAAGTTACGAGCCTTTAAGGAAAGCTCCTCTTTCTTTGTAAGAGGCCCTCCCAGCTCCTTACCCCATTGAAGTATGCTTCTAGCCTTTCTCCGTCGCGCTTTGCTCTTAGGCTGTAGGCTGGTCAGATGACTTTGCCTGTTTTTATGCTCGTTGCAGTCGATAGAGGCGCATTTGGTGGACAGGATGGAAGCTAATTACCTCTGCCAGCGACCAGTTGTTGTTGTTACATGAACTACTCAGAACTTTGTATCATATTTTACAAGGGAGTCCATATGTGCTTGGCTTTGTAGGCTTACATTAAATTGAGTACTCCCTGCTCAAACCAGGTGTAAAATATGGCTTCAGTTAATACTAATACATGTACTGTATGCTGCCAAGCCTAAACATGCTGAACATCCATTCCAGTTCTATTTCAGCCTCAGCTTGAGTTTTTTTTGGGGGGGAGTAGGGATTAAGCTGTTTGAATGTAGATGAGGTTAGCCTAAACCACCTTCAGGGATTTATTGTTCTTTGGGGAGCTGGTATGCACCCCAAACTAGCCTCCTAAAAGTAAGAGTAGTAGTAGTAGTAGTAGTAGTAGTAGTAGTAGTAGTAGTAGTAGTAGTAGTAGTAGTAGTAGTAGTAGTAGTAGTAGTAGTAGTAGTAGTAGTAGTAGTAGTAGTAGTAGTAGTAGTAGTAGTAGTAGTAGTAGTAGTAGTAGTAGTAGTAGTAGTAGTAGTAGTAGTAGTAGTAGTAGTAGTAGTAGTAGTAGTAGTAGTAGTAGTAGTAGTAGTAGTAGTAGTAGTAGTAGTAGTAGTA